CTGCCTGGGCCTTCTTATTTTTCTAAAGAAGCTTTTTAATTTTTAATTTTATTTTTCAGTGAAGTCATTTTCTCTCTGGCCCTGTATGGGGTGGTCAGAGGGGAGATGGAGGAGGACGGGGGAAATGGACAGCACCTCACGGGACTCCCAGGACCCCAGCCATTAGTGCATCACCCTTGGCCTGTGCCGCCTGCCCTGCCCTCACACAGGACTCTTTCACATTCCAAACTGCCTGCCTAGTTTGTTTTTTTAAGAAAGCAATAACCACAGCACATTCACTGTGGTTCTTTATAGCTTTCCATATGTATAATCACTCTTTCTCTCTTCAGTTTTTCCAATGTTTTTTTCTTTTAAATAAATGCTCATAAATTTTACTGGTGAAAAGGATGAAAAAACATACCAAAAAAGGACAGCTTGTTGGGAGGAAAACAAAAAACAAGCAGAATGCAGAAAAAAAATTCTTGTTTAGCATTATATACCTAAGAAATGGGGGTGGGGGGAAATCAAGTTTTATGAAAAAGAGATTATTCTGTAATATCTTCAAAACTTGCATGTCTAAGTCTTGAGCTTTTACCTGATAAGCTTAAATCCCCAGCCATCACCCCCCTGGGCTTGCTGAGGAGACCCCTCAGTCCTAGGAGGACGATCCCCGGCTTCTCTCAGCCATTAGGTTCATGTGGGGCCTTGCGTAAGTTAGATGATCCGGAGGCCCCCAGTCTTTATAACTGCAAAGGGTTGGATTAGAAGCTTTCAAAGGACCCTTTCATCTGGAAAATTCTATGGCTTTATGATAAAGTCAGTCACTTGATGAGTTAGAGCGAAGAAATGGATTCAAAGGCCCCTTCAAATCCTCTCTCCCATCAGAGAAGCTGCAACAGACGCTGCTGGCTGCCTTCCCAATAGCCATCCTCCCCTTCCTCCTTACCAGCAGAACTTCAGTTTTTTGGGGGGTCAGTAATGTGTCCAGCTATAAAGCAACTTCCCAGCCTCTCTTGCAGCTGGGTGTGGTCACCTGACACAGTCCCAGCCAATAAGATGTAAGTTTAAGCCCATGGATGGCCAATTCAGCTGGCTCACATTTTTTTGCCCCTTACCCTTACCCTTTTTTTGCCTGGAATTCAGTCATATGATGGTAACAGACTAGGGGTCAAAATGGTAGCAAAGTGGCAAAACAGAACAGGCCAGAGGGGTCTGGGTCCCCAGTGCATCAAGGAGTCACTGAACTAGCCCTGCACTGCCCACCGCAGATGACTTATTCTGTAAGAGAAACAAAACCTTGATCTGGTTAAGCCACAGTAAGGTGGGTTTCTGTCACATACGCTAAACCTAGTTGTAATCTGCACTAGGCTGAGGAGAAGAAACACCCCCCTTCAACGAATATTGAGCACCTACTCTGTGCCTGACAGGAACTGAGAGTGAATGACCCAGACATGGTTGTTCCCCTCATAGGCTCTCAAAGTAGCAGTAGAGACAATAACAAATAAAGAAGTCAATTAATTATTATCACTGCTATCAAAGAAAGAAATAAGGCTCAGGAAAAGAAAATGATAGATCTACTTCCAGTGGGTGGTCCTAGAAGGACTAGTGAAGCAATGAAATTGAAGGGGAAATTTTACGGAGTGGGCCACACGAAGGAAGAGTAAGAGGAAACAATATTCCAGACAAGGAGGAGCAGCACATACAAAGGCCCCTAGTTGGGAAGGAGCTGAAGAAACTGAGAAAAAGCTGGTGAGGTTGGGGCTGACGAACGAGGCGTTGAAACAAGGTGAGAGAGGGCCGGCCACCTTGTAGGGCCTATAGCAGGGCCAGCCATGCGGCGCCTTGGGCGGGTTTTATTTTAAGTCACTGAAGGATTTTAAGGAAAAAATTGCCTTTTAAGAAGACCCCCATCTGGAAAGCAGTTTCAGCCCCAACTTCTGTGGGCCTGTTGGCTGCACAGAGAGCTATGCAACAAGTTCCTGGCCCTGGTCCTGAAGGGCTTTGGGCATGACTCAGGGTCACCTGCAGGCCAGTCCCAGGCCTGCCACTCAGTAGCTATGTGCCTTTTAAAAGCCACTGTCCTCTCTGAGCCTGAGCTTCCTCATCTGAAAATAAGGACAGTAATAGTCCTACCTCAGGATTTCCCTGGTGGTGCAGTGGTTAAGAATCTGCCTGCCAATGGAAGGGACATGGGTTCGAGCCCTAGTGCAGGAAGATCCCACGTGCCACGGAGCAACTAAGCCCATGCACCACAACTACTGAGCCCGTGTGCCACAACTACTGAAGCCCGTGCACCTAGAGCCCATGCTCTGCGACAAGAGAAGCCACTGCAATGAGAAGCCTGCACACTGTAACGAAGAGTGGCCCCTGCTCACCGCAGCTAGAGAAAGCCTGCACACAGCAACAAAGACCCAACGCAGACAAAAATTAAAAATAAATAAATAAATTTATTTTAAAAAAAATAGTCCTACCTCTTAGAGCTGTGAGGAGGCAATGTGTTGAATCCTTGGAACCATGCCTGCTGCACACTATGTGCCAGAAAAGAGTTTATTATTTTCACTGTTACTGGGAAGCCCATCAGCGTTCACATACTCCTGCCTCTAAGGCAATTCTTCTCCAGCTAGGCATTAGCATCACCTGGGTCCCATCCTCAGAGACTCTGATTCAGTAGGGCTGGGGTGGCCTAAGAATTTGCATTTCCAAAAAGCTCCCAGGTCATGCTGATGCCTGTGGTCTGCAGACCACACTGCATTTGGCTAGGGTCAAGGCAGCCCCTTGGGAATATTTTGGGGAAGGATGACTGGCTTCCCACTGCTGTAGTCACCTTCAGCCCTAATAGACAATGGCAGAGGGTAGGAGGCCCAAAGCCCCACTCCCCCTAGAAGACTTGAACGTGTTCCTTCTGGGAAGCAGGAAAGCAGGGATCAGAGATTCTCAGCCTTTAAGGGACCTCAGAATTTCTGGGGAAGATGGTAAAAAAAGCAGATTTGGGGGTCCACACCAGAGATTCTGTTTCAGCCTGGGGGTGGAACCCAAACATCTTTATGTTAAATGACTCCCTATAGATTCTGCCACAGGCCACGCTTGGATAAATGGTGACATGGTGGTTTTGGAGTTAGACAAACCCAAGTTCAAATCTCCCTCAACTTTCAATCTATATGGCCTTTTGTGGCCTTTAAAACTTCTCCAAATCACGCTCTCCTTATCTGAGCTTATTAATAAGCTTATTAATACTGGTAATATCCTCCCCCTGAGGATGAAATAAAAATATTTGTGCAAAGGGCATAAAAGTTATAATCACAGACTCCAGTGTGCAAAAGTATGACTTGCTTTATTTATCTAACTTAGCCCATGACCTCGGGTTTCTGTTAATAGCAGAAAACTTCAGCTTGGAAATTCTAGACCACTTCCAGCTCTAAAAAAAACTCATCTTTTTTGGGAAACTCTAGCCCGAGTCAGGATTCTTTCATCCTCTGTCACTGGCCCTTCCCCTGGAAATGATCTAGGTTCTTCAGGGGTTCATTTCCCTGATTTCTCAGGCCTCCCACACGGAACAGCTGGTCCTGGGCACAGGCATGCCCAGTTGATGCCCACCGTGCCATCATGGCTGCTGGCTGCATGGCCCCTCGGCTCAGCCTACTTGCTTCTACCCTAAGCCTTCTCGCCTCTACCCTAAGCCTTCTTACCCGCCAACCTTCTCATTTCTTTGCTAAGAGCTCTCAACAGCTGCATTACTGATGTGTACCCAGCCATATGGCTGCCTCTAATCACCTGTCCAGAGCCGTTGCTCAGCCACTGTTAATCTGAGGCTCAGGCGCCATATTGGACATGGCCCATACCCAGAGTTTTGATCACCACTGATCCCCTCTTTCCGTTAACTGGTCCAACTTCTGTCTTCTTTTACAGGTTGGGTGGAAAGGGGGACTTGTTCCTATTTTCCTCCGCTTTCTTCCCTGTCTGTAAAACTCTGCACCCCATGTCCTGCAGGGGCCAGTTCATGGGTATCCACAATCCTTTCCTTTAGCAACAACAATTACTAAAGTCTGGCTTTTGCAAATGGAAGTCTTGCTTCCTGCCTCAGACTTACACAAGCCCATTCAGCTCTCCAGTTGACTTCTTGTTCTCGGGGGTACTTGCCTTCCCCTGAAAGCAGGGCAAACAGACTCACCCACTATCCCAGCTGCCCAGTGATGGGGGAAGGCAAAAGGTACAAGGAAGCCTGAGGATGGGGGAAGGGACCTCATTTGTATCTTAGAATCTCTCCCTGAGATAAAGTAAATGGCCTTGCCTAAACTAACTTCTTGGTGCATGACAACCGCGATGATTATCGTGAGGAGGAAAAAGAGGACTTCTCTCTGGATGTGCAGTGCTTTGCTGTGCTGGCTCTGACTGGCTGTGACTCTGCTCCCAAGACCAAGGGAGGCTGTGAGGGTGCCCAGGAAGAGCAGGTCACAAACTAGTAACTTGTTCACTTTCGTTAACAGGGTGAGAGGGATCTTCTGAATGGAGGACTCTGAAATGTGCGTCTACTCCCTACCCAGCATGGGAAATGAAGCAGGAAGAGGAGGAGGCTGCCTGTCTGTACCCACCCCTCGCTCCAGGTGCCAGAAACACCACCACTGGAGATCCACTCCCTCAGATCAAATACTGTCCCCTCCAGGCTCATCTTAAAATGTAAATACCAAAGGGACAGTGCGTGTATTAGTTGCTCCAGGGGATGTGCTATCTGTTCTGGGCCCCGAGAACATTTCAAGAGGAGAAAAGGGAAGGGCTGCTAGTCCCCCTGTCTGCCTGGATACCTGAGGAATGAAGAGGCATTTCCAAGGCCCCTGTCCCCTCCTCAATGCTGAGCCCAAAGGGGTGGCAGTCAGTGCCAGAAGCCACCAAGCCTCTTCAAACTTGTTTTTATTTCCTAAGGAGTCAGGGCAGGGGTGGGGAAGGGATCCATAACTTGGGTTTCAGGAGGAGCCCAGGTCTTGGGAAAGAAGACAAACCCTCTGGCTCTGCCCTCAGCAGTACTGTCAGTAGGGGTGATTAAGCGTGTGCTCCATGATGGTCCGAATGGCCATCCACGTCTCCTGGGCTGTGGGGATAATCTGTGTGGCTGGCAGCAGGAAGCCATAGGGCCCCGTGTCACGGAGCTCGAAGGTGAAGGAGTACCTGATGCCACTGTCATAGGCCCAGTCGACAGTGATACCACTGGCCACATCTGGATACAAAAGGGCAAAGAAATGCCCCCAAAAGGAAGAACAGGGTGTGGTCACATGGTACAGAGGCATCCTGAGAGGACAGTGGGCCCTGGGGTTCAAACTCCCACCCATTCCAGACCACACCAAGCTTCCTGGCCCAGGCCTCAACCTGGGCCATACGCTGCTCACCCAGCCCAATCTCTGCCCTGGCAAAAAGAAAGCTTCTGGAGGCCACCAGACTTGGGATATTTACCCTCAAAGAACACTGCAGTAACCCAGGCATTGGGATATAGGCACTAATTAATGCTGCAAAGAAACAGGTGTCTGTGTCTGGGTACCACCATTCACCCTTCTATTCAAATGTGGAAATCAGCTCTGGCCCAGCCCAGCTAGATCTATGGCACAACCCTGTGGCCAACCAGGCCTGCCAGTCAGCGCTTGCACCTGGCCCGACCCTAGGTGGATGTGGTGCCTGAAGCAGCAACAGACAAGGGAAGGCTTACTCACAGAGGGTGGTGCTGATGCTGCCATAAATGTACTCGATCCCATGAACCTCATACAGGGCCTGCACTGCATCCTTGGCAAGACTGTACTGCAAGATTAAATCCAGAGAGTGAGATGCCGGCACTCCCCACACTCCCACACCCTCACCAGCTGCTGAGAAGCAGGGACTTCAGAGTCTTGGAAGTTGAACATGTAGATGGCTCTTGTGAGAAGGAAGCACAGCACCTCCAGTTTTGAACTTGATCACATGTGAGAACAAGTCCCCCCACCCCCACTCCCTACCATGGGGCCTGTTGGGAGTCTGCTCGATGCCTCCCCCAAGCCCTAAGCAGCCAATCTCACCAACTCTTCCTGGTTTGAAACAGGCTCCAGAGAGTGGCCATAGGGGTACATGAGCATCTGAGAGTAGCTGTGGATGGAGATCAGAGCCTTGATGTTCCCGTGGGACGTGATGAAGTCCACAATGGCAGCCACTTCTGGCTCTGACTGAGGGGAGGGCCCATGATAAGTCTCTGAGCAGGGGTTGTTGTTAGAACCATTTCCTGGAAGTAGAATCAAAGCACCCAAAGTGTTCAAATTCCCAGGCTTGGGAAAGACACTTAGTGCTCACAAAATATACTGTACTCCTCTACATTCCCTAGCCTCTTTTGCAGTTTGGTTGAGGTCATGTGACTATTTTTGACCAATGAGAATGTGAGCAGTGATGATGTGTCACTTCTAGTTGGAGGCTAAGAGCAAGTGCGACTTCTCAACACTCCCTTCTGTCTGTGTGCTTGAAGGAAAAAACTCTAAATGGAGAAGTGTCCTGGATCCCTCTGTCACCAGTGGAAGAAAGCTGTCAAGGAGGGTCACCTACCCACATTGGACTTTGTATGCATGAAAAATAAATTTTTATTGTGTTAAGCCACTGAGATTTGGAGGGATATTTGTTACTGCTTCATACCCTAGTCTAGTACATCAGAGGAGTGTTGCCACACCATGACTCAGCAGCTCTGTGGCCCTGTAGGGAGCTCCCTTGGTTTGTCCTTTGGTTAAGTCCTGACTGTGGTTCCATTAGAAAGACAGGCCTGCCTCAGCAGTTGCCAGTAGGTCTCCAACCTGGCCTCCCCTATGAGCAGTGACCCCTTTGAGCTGATCCTTCTCTGCTGACCCTCCACTGCCATGGGAAAGGCCTGGGTCAGTTAAGCGCTCAGACTTATTGTCTGCTCAAGCTTTGCCACAGCCATAGCCCAAGAACAGCATGAACTTGGAGGAAAAGAGAGACTAGATCACTATAGTTGCCCAAGGCTGGTCTGGGAACCACAGATGCAAAGAGTCTTTGAAAATTCTTCCTGGGGACCTAAGCTGGAGAGATGAGGGCAGAGAGCAGCTGTGCTTCTATTTTGTTCACAAGTTTAATTTGTTCCCATCTCCTACTAGACTCTTTGCTCCCCATCTCTTTTCTTCCTCTTCTGTTTTCCTCCCCTCCCCAAGGGCCATGTCATGGAGGGCTAGGCTGGGCTGGCCACGATTTGTGGGTTAGGAACACAACTGGAAAGAGCATCCCAGGTCCTGCTCTCACTCCTCCTCCCTGAAATGACTGCACAGAAGCCCAGTCAGAGGCCAGAGATTGCCCCAACTTCTGAAGCCTCCTGAGGATGCCAGAGCACCCCTCAGGGCAGTGAGTTGGCCGGAGAGCTGGGAGGCTTGCCCACCAGTTCAGATGCTGCTCTAGGACTGCAGCAAACAGGTCCTCCCCAAGGGTGCAGGTGAGGGCAGCGGGGTGGGAGGGATGATCTACAGATTACTCTTTACGCAGCAATTAAATTAAGGCAATAATAAAACCACAAACAAAATCTTCCCCCGAGTCACTAACCAGACACTCGCTATTTCTGGCCACAGGCAGGCCCAGAAGCAATTCTGTCACCTGGGAGCACATCTCTTCTTGGTCTTTGGGTCCTTGCCTAGGGCAAGGACTGACCCTGGTTAGAAGGGGATGTGCCTGCAGGAAACGAGGGGGTAGGAGCAGCCTCACAGGCTGGAGCTGGCCCAGCTAACAGTGGCCCTGTTTGTTGTGTCTGCTGGGAGCCTCTGCACCTGCTACACTTGATGAATGACAAATAGCAACAGATGAGCAGAGCAAGGGAGGCTGCAAGCTTTGTCTGCATTTGCAGCCCACGCATGGAAAGTGGTTCCCCTGCCAACGACCAGGTGGCTTTGCCCAAATATGGAGAAACACTTCAGGCCGTTAGTTCTGGTTTGAGCTAGTCAGAATCAACTAATCTTCCCCTGACCAAATGGGAATTAGCTGTCTGCCTCTGACATTCACAGTCAAAGTCCTCTGAGCCTGCCTGTTTCACAAGTACCTGCTAATGGATTCATTAGCTATTTATTTTTCCTTCTCTAAAAATGTAATTTGTAGCAAGGGGAACTCACTGGAAGGACATGGTAAATTATTAAAAGCAGTAATCTTTGGGCAGGGGGATTATGGGAGCTTTTTGTCCCCTCTGGGCTTTTTTCCCACATATTTTTTTTTACATTGTGTATATATATATACTGATTTTTTTTCCTGTGGTGAAACTCACAAAAGTTATTTTCTTTAAGAGGTAATTTGTCTTTCTTCTAGCCAGTCTGTCTCAGGGTACGTGGGCACTCCCTTCAGCCAGTTCTGATGGGCCCACGTGGATGCCCTCTTGGGGGCAGACGTCTGGTTATTTGGAGGTGGAAACACCTAATTTTATGTGGCTGTGTTCCCTTACACAAGCAGCTAAAACACAGCCCCAGACTCTCAGGCAACCCCTACACTGTGGGCTGGTGGCCTCGCTCTGTATGCTTCAGAGCTGTCCTTATTTTTCAATGAGAACAGACTCAAATCAGATTTTCAAAGCAATGGGCATCCAGATCTAGAATGTTCTATCTCGTGGGCTTGACCTCCCATCTGCAGGTCTGCTTTTCAACAGCATGGCGAGGGGGTAGGAGCAGCCAACAGCATGGCATCGTCTCCTGTGGAGCCAAACCCTGATTCCCCAGTATAGTGTGGGAGCAATATCTGGGGGCTGAGGGCTGTACCCATACACCCCTCTGTTTTGGAGACTTTCCTGGTTAGACCCAGAACCCCAACCATCAAATTGCTGCATTCCCAGGGTCCACATACTCATCTCTGGGCTTTCTGGAAGCCTCAGTTTCCCCATCTAGTCCCTAAGCCCCTTGCGTGGCAAGGGAGATAATCAGGAAGAACACCAAGGGAACTCAGAAGGAAGCTGCCTACCCCTCCCTTGAAGGATACAACCCTGCAGGTAAACAACAGTCCAACAGCCCAGGGTCACAAAGTAATTGGGTCAAAAATAAAAGCCAGGCTCAAGCCAGTGTTAATGATAAGGAACTAGCTTATTCTATGTTTAAACCTTTGTTCTGGCCTCCCCAGAGGGCAAAATTTGGGTCACAGGTCTCAGGGAATGAATTTGGAGGCATTTTCTTATGGCATGCTCCATTCAAGGAAGGGCTAGAGATATTTGGGTGGGGCACCACAAATTCTGGGTTTTGAACAATGAGCAAGACTACTTTGGACCTCCTTAAGCCTTTCTCTGCCATATTTAGGATCTGACCCTTGCAGTTAGTCCCCAGGCAAGGAGCTGTTTCCCATGAAGGCTTAGTATATGAATACATTTAACAGACATATGCAACCTCTCCCCATACCTCACGGCCAATCCTAGGCATGTGCCTGCCTGTCCCTGGCCATGACTCACTTGCATTAGCTAACTGCTTTGCCTCCCCAGTTATGAGTCAACATAATCTGACTGTGTGGGAGACGTGCCAGGAACCAAGTCCTCTCCAGCCCTGCCCCCGGGTGCAGCAGACTGCAGTACCTCCAAAGCCTGACTTCCAGTTCCTGTTAAGATCCACACCAATGCAGAAGATTCAGGGTCTGCTGGACTTGTTCTTCCACCACAAGCGGTTCTGAAAAAGCGCGGGGCAGGTGACCTCATTCACTGGGCCCATTCCTGGGTGGGAGCCTCTGACATCCTGGTCTAGGAAGCGGGGTCCGGCGGGCCAGGGAGGGGCAAAAGGAAGGAATCTCTAGGGCAGGATGAGGCTGGCATGGGGCTGGGCCAAGGCTGCAGATCAGATGCTTTGTGGTTAAACCTGGGGTATTATGAGGTTAAACATGGGTATGGAGAGAGGCCCAAGCACAGTCAATCAACAGTGGCAGCAAGAGGGAGGCTGAAGGGCAAGAGCTGCAGCTACAGTATCTGAGCCTGCCTCAGTAAGACTCTGCAAGGAGCCCCCGCGGGGCCTGCCCCTAGGGAACCTCAGCCAAGCATTCCAAAGCCACGGTGACCTTTCCTCCATTCCCCCAGAGCTGACCCCTGATCCTTGACCCCCTCCCTCTCAGGTACTCTCACCATGCTGTGGGTATAAGCCAACCCGTCAGGATTGGAGACAATCTCCATAAAGATGTCCATGGCATTCAGTACGTCTGTCACGATGCGGTCTTTGCCATATTCATTGACAATCTGCAAGCAAGGGCAGGGTGGGGACAGGGTGAGGAACAGGAGGCCCTGCTGGGCTCTCCTCCGAAGCAGAGCAGGACATCTGTACAGCCAGTGGCTGCAGGCAGGGGTGGCATCAGTCATCAGGTTCAGCCTTGTGCAGAACCAAAGGCTTGGATTTTAAACAACTAGAAGGCAGAGGACAGCTGGGGGCTCTGTGCTGCAAAAGGCCAGAGCACATGGCAGCTGTTCCATAGGGCAGGAGCGTAGACAGGCCCCCGGGTTAGGAGAACCACGAATTAAGTTTTCCACTGGAGGTGCCCTTAAATAGTTGAGCAGCCCCCACTCCCCCAGCCCAGCCCCCATGGTCCGTGCTGACCTTCCTGGCAGTCCAGATGCCAGTGGCATGGGTGATCCACTCCCGGGAGTGGATTCCAGTGTCAATCCAGATGGCTGGGCGCTGCGAACCTCTACTGCTGAACTGGGGAAAAACACCGGACCCCATACAAGTTTGAACCAAAACAGCTACAGGGCTGTCCCTAGACTGCCTGGAAGGAGGCCTCAGACGTATCCTCACTGCCTGGAGCGGCCCCATGTTCCTGAGAGGGGGGCTGTAGGTGGAGGTACCTGTGCATGAGCCCATAGAAAGTACACACATGTGGGGGTGCCCTGGAGACACAGTGATGCTCTTGGAGAGCAAAGTGATCCAGCCAGAGGCACAGAATTTCCCAAGTTTGAAAGTATTTTAGACTAGTGCTTCTCAAACTTTGAGGGGCACATGAATCCTCCGGGGAGCTCAGTAAAATGCAGATTCTGATTCAGTAGATCTGGAAAGGGGTGTGTGGCTGGGAGTTTCTAACAAGCTCCCAGGAATGCTGCTGCTCCTGGTCCAAGGACAGCACTGAGTAGCAACGTCTTAGCATTAAAGGGGGAACACAGACAGCCCTTAAGGGAAATCAAAGCAGGCACAGGCGAAGTCAGGTCCCGAGCTAGATGAGACCACTTGACCCTTCAGAAGAGTTCCCCAGGGCATTGTTGAGGACTGCAGTGCCTGTCTTCTCTGAGAGCTGGATGTCAAATGCCCTGCGTGGTCCACGCTCCTGAGTGCCCTTTAGGGCACACACAAAGAATCATTTTCCCGTAGGCTCCACACTCTCACCCATCCTGCCTCCTTCATGGCCAAGGGCACTGCTGCTGCCAAGTTTACTAGAGCTCTGTTTCCAGTGGCCCCTGTGAAGGGCTGAAAGGTTTCCTCATAGACTCAGGCCTATCTGTGGGGCTGCCTGAGCCAGATGACTTCAGTTGTTGTAAATGAAGCCTCTGGGTACCGCTCTTGCCATTGAACAGCGCTCTTCCCATTGAACAGATGAAGCAACTGAGGTAACAGGAAGAATGCTGACTCACTCACACTCACATCCCAAGTCCAAGGTGATGACTGCCACTCTGCAGTTCCATCTCCTTAGCAACCCTCCCACCAGATTCCTGACCCAGACATGCCAGGTCACTGCACTACCACCTGTCCACACCTACAAGGGTGGGTCCCTGAACACCACCATCCCAAAGCTTGTGGGTCACCTCGGGACAAGAGTGTACACATCTCTCTCTCTAAAACTCCCACCCAGCCACAACCCCATATGAGCTCAACTTATGCCAGAGGCACTCACTGTACAGTCTAGTGGTCAACACTGCTAGCTTTTACCTTCAGAACAAGAATGGGCCGATTTTCAAAGCTGTGGCCAATCTGAATTTTTGAGAGAATATCTGAATGATCAGTTACAAAGTTGTCGATCCAGGTATATATCTGAAAGGAATGAAGTTTCTCAGATGGGCAGTTAAGCAGGGAGGGGGCAAATCCCAGGATCTCTCTGAGTATTCTCCTTGTCCCATCCCACCCTCTTTAATGCTTTCCCACCTCCCTTGAGGATCTAAAAGTATCACAAAAATCAAAGACTACCTTGGGTCTAAGGCAGGAGCTGTGGTTAGCCTGGATTCCCAGGCTGTTCCTAAGCCTTGCCTGGAAGAGCAGCATGTGCTGCGCCTACTCAGTCCCCAGGGTCGGCCTGCACGGCTCTCTCTGGTTGGAGGTTTCTCTTGTTTCCATTTTATTGGCCCATTCAATCCATTTGACAGATCTCAGTCCTTGCAGTGTTGTTTTTAGTCATCCTGACCCTTTTAGATTCTAAGCCACTTGAAGGCAGGATTATTTATCTCTGACATCAGTAAATACTGATGGAATATACTAATTCATTCTCTTATTCTTCCAATATATAATTAAATTAACAAATATACGAAAGAAAATGGATCCTCTATTAATGGACTTCATGAAATGGGGAGAGTGATAATGATAATAATAGATGGACAATATCAATAATGTCATCCTTTACATGGAAATAGGATGTGTGCCTAGAGTTTCTTTCTTTTTTTTTTTTTTTTTTTTTTTTTTTTTGAGGTACGCGGGCCTCTCTCTGTTGTGGCCTCTCCCATTGCGGAGCACAGGCTCCGGACACGCAGGCTCAGCGGCCAGGACTCACGGGCCTAGCCGCTCCGCGGCATGTGGGATCTTCCCGGACCGGGGCACGAACCCGTGTCCCCTGCATCGGCAGGTGGATAGAGTTTCTTTCTTGACTGGGCGTCTCTATGCTTTTCTTGCATATTCTACTTTTATAAACAAGTCACAATCAGTCATGCCTGCCCTCAATGGCTGTAACTGTAATCATAAATTTTCTCCAGCTGAACGCAACTCTTTAATTCTACAAAATGGCTCTCTAACATGCCTAGCTTCCTGTTCCTCTATGCTCTAGTACTCACAGCTGGGGTCACTTAACACAGGAATGGTCGTTCAGAGGTTAAGACCCCTGGATCCCTAGCCAGAATGTCAGATAGGAAGGTGCCTCTATCTGCTCTGTTCTGGCCGGTGCTGGATCCCTGCTCTAGTGTTCCACCTTGCAGACCCATTACCCCAGTCCCACGCCTGCTCTGGACCAGGCCACAGTCCCCTCTATCTGAATCCTGGCTTCTGGACCTCCTTGAGCCGTCTACCTCCTGTCGCCCAGTGTGTGCTCTGCACTCCCCAAGCGTCAGCTCACAGTCTCCTGTAGACCCCAGAGTCCTGAGGCTGGAGACCCTGAGGGCTCAAGAGGACAACAGAGTCCAGAGCCTGACCCGGCAGACCCACCTCCTCCAGGGTGTGATACAAGGAGTAACTGAGGCTACTGGTGCTGCGCTCCAGCCGGCGGGATTTCGCCATGGCTTCTCTCTCCTCGTCCAGCAGCACCTAGGAAGGGAAGAGGAGCCTGGGCCAGGCATGTCTCTTCTGAGCCCTGCCTCAGCTGGCTGCACAAACACAGCATCGACATGTGAGAATGAGCTGCTGTGAGTGTGAACTGCGCAAAACGAGGAGATGCCAGGTTGCTGGGTGATTCTTCCGCTTGGCAAGCTGGCATTCATGCTGCCATTTCCCAGATGAGCACAGGACAAGGAGTCTGGAGAACTTGGTTCTAAGTGTGCCATTGCCACTAACTTGCTGTGGAACCTTGATCTTGGTTTCCTCAGCTTTAAAATTGGGACTTGCCTTGCCCATCTCAAAAGGATAAAATGTAATAAAAGATATAAAAGTGTCTTGGAAAAGATGCTCATGGTCTACTGCCAACATTGCTTTTGTCCTCTGTGAACACTCTGTTGAGCCAAAGCCCAAGCTGAACTATGTACACTGACCCCTGGGGGAGCAGAGGGCTCCCCTGACCCACAGCATGCACTCTGCCCCAGGAAGTAGCCCAGGCAGTTGATGTCCAAGCCATTCGAAAAGCCAGTCCAAATCATTATAATTAATGTGCCAACAGTCTGTCACTCACTTTCTTAACTGCCTCTTAAACACAAGTACAGGTGAGCCAAAGTAATGTCCTTCCTTGAGTGGCACACAATCCTCAAGTGGTACTTCCCACAGAGAGGGCAGTATAGTGCCTGGGTTGAACTGACCTCCCACATCATCCTGGGGCATTTTTCCCAGCTCGGGACTCAGTGAGGTGGGCAGGTGCCCTTCACCCTAAGCTCATACCCTTACATTGACAGCCAGGGACCAAAGCACCCCAGGACTCAGCCCTGCCTGTGCAGCATGGGAGGTGCCTGGGCCCCTTTGCCACAGGGGTGCTGGGAAAGCAGAGGCCATCAACCCAGAGTCACTCTGGTTTGCAGCTCTGGGTCACAAGTAAATCCTGATAATGCCTTGCTTCAGGCCAGAGTCTTTTAGTTTAACCAAGCATCTGTATACTCATCATCTGGGTTGATCTGGTCGGATGACCTGATGACAGGGCAAGAATTAACTATTCATGTTTTAGAGAAAAAGCAAATTAGAGAGGTAAAGAGACTTAATAGCAAAGCTAACTAGGGGCAGAGGTGAGACAAAAACCCAGATATCCTAGTTTCTAACATTATGTTCCTTAAGGCCAGCTAGCTATCAAAACTAAAAGCTAATAAGAATCTCACACACACACACACACACACACGTCTATGTGTGTGTGTGTGTGTGTGTGTGTGTGTGTGTGTACATAGAGAGAGAAAGAGTAAGCACACATATAAAATATGAACAACAGGTGAAAAGTCCATCATACTATTCTTGTAATTTAAAAATGCTTTAAAATAATGGAAAGGCAATACCCCAAGCATAGGAAAACAACACAGTAAAATGTCAAAAAACCAAAAAAAACAAAATGCTAACATGCCTGTTAGGAGAGAAAGATTATGATTTCAAGCAATTTTTTCTTTTCTCTATTTTTGCATTTTGGCAACGTGCTCACACTACTTCGATAAGGAAAATCTCCTAAATGAATAAATAATACTAAAACAAAGACAAAACACCCAAATGGCTAAAAATAAAGCAGCAGCCATGGCGCCTTCAGTCCCAGGGCTGGAAGAGACACTCCCGCCTCCGCCCCACTGCAGCCGAGGCCACTATCAGATGACACACTCACCCCATCGCCCCTGTCAGCTTGCTCACAACCCTCAAGTTCACAGATTTTTAAATGGGAGTGGAAGTCAATGTTTGGGGCTCATTTCATTCTCTTTTTGAGCACCAACTACACGCTAGGCATTTGTAATTGCAATGTTCTCTAGCTGAACTCGCTGGGCTGGGGACGTTCCCACTTGGGCAAACCTGGGATTGCTGGTTTAGTTAGAGATGGCTGGAGGAGCCCTGATCCTCACTGGCACAAGCACCAGCCTGGGAAGCTCTAACAAAGGAAATTTGTCTTCTTCCCAGAAAATCAACGGAAATCTCAGCAGCCTCCATGACCAATGTGTGTCCCTCACTGTGGGCCGGGCATGACCAGCTGCAGTGAGCAGCTGCAGAGCAGAGAGCAGGTCAGGCCAACGCACCCGGAGTCAGGGCCCCAACGCCGTAAAGTTAAAGGGCCCATACATCTAACTTCCTAGGGATGGAGGTGGTGAGTGAAGGTGGAGGAGAGGGAAGAAAAATTGGGAAGATAGGACCTGAGGACCCAGTTCTTTCCCCACAGCTCAGGGACACCCACAGGAAGAGAGTTCCCATAAGGCTGTCCTTTGTTCCACACGACAGCTTGGAGGCAAATGGGAAGTCGGCACTAAACTGCAAATAACTTTCCAAACACGCTCACAGCCTTGTGAATGGATATGACACCAGCTTACAAATTGGGAATGCTCAGCCCTCACAGCTGGGCCCTTGATTCCAGGAACATTAATCTACCCTGGCCTGAAGAATACGCAGATGTTTGCTCCCTTCACAGGGCTGAGGTAAGGGGATGGGAGAACTAAGAATGCAGACTTGCCGCAGGCTTGCCTAATTACAGCCCTGTCAGGCTTCTCAGAGAAAAAAAAGACTCAGAAGTAAGCCATTTGCCTCCCTGGAAGCCGTAAGCTGACAGGGAAAGTAATACCTCGGTGTAAATTAATTTATGACAGGAGCAAGGAAGGATGGGGACATTAAGAACAGCACCTCCAAGATGGGGGGCTGGGGGACCGTGGGCCCCAATGGTGAAGATGATGCCTGAGGGGAATCTGCATTCACAGCTCACTCCAACCACAGACGTAAAATGGACGAAGTTCACAGAAACAGTGGTGGCGGGCAGGAGATGGGCTCTAATGTCCGCTCTGTGAGGAGGGCAGTCACTTCTTCTCATGCATCCCTGGCCTCCTCTTCCAGGCCTAACGTTTGCAGTAGCAGCTGCATGGCCGGTGGCAGTTACAGTCCATGCCTACGTTTGGATGGCGGGTGAGGGGGTACATATCTGGGGCTGTTAGAATGGACCCCTCAGAATTCAAGACAGAACCGGGGCTTCCCTGCCCAAAAGGCAAAGCTAAAACGCCATACGAACAACGACACTGCTTGAGAAGGCAGACAGCACAAGAGTAAAGGGTCCAGGGCCTGGAGTCAGGCTGTCTCAGATTAAATCCTGCCGTTGTCACTAACTTGGGCAAATTACAAAGTTCTCTGTGCCTCAGTCTCATAAATTAGGAAATTCTCTGCACATTCATAAAATGGGGGTCATGTTACCATATACTTTCACACATACTTGAAGTGTTCTTGTGAGGACTAGAAGGGTGAATACATGTAAAATGTTTAGAACACTGCCTAGCATGCAGTAAATGCCAGCTATGATGATGATGACAATGACAGGACAACAACAGTAACTCTTGGGTGACTCCAGGACTCTGGTGGAATAATCATTACAGGGCATGACCAGGAAATCTGGGTTCCTCCAGGGAGAAGTGGTGTCTGCAGGACTTGGACAGCAGGTGACCCCCATTAGTGGTCACTTGGGTGAGTCAGGCAGCCCCTGCCCCTCCCTGGGACCAAGAGAGGGGCCTAGTCCTTCTGTTGTCCCTGTCTCCCAACCCCTACCCCCATCCCTCCTCAGCCCGCTATCCCCATGCAGCCAGACTCTGGCTCTCCCTCAGGGCCTTACCCATGATTCCTTCCTTTCCTCGCCTATTCCTGTCTTCCTCTCCTCTTTAGAGCTGCCGCCCAGCCAACACCTTTCCCACTTTTTAATCTCTTCTACCCAACAGACCAGTGTTTGTGAAGCACACACTGGGCACTAAAGATATGGCAGCCAACAAAACAAAATTGCCTGCCCTCATGGAGCTTACAGTCTGGTAGGGGAGACAGACAACAGACAAGACAAATAAGTAAATCATATAGGATATTAGAAGGCTGTAGGTGCCAAGGAGAAAAGTGAGGGCGGGAACTGGGGGAGTGTGGGAGGAGAAGGGTACAACTTAAAATAGGGTGAAAAGTTGATACGTGAATCAAGTATTGAAAGTAGTGTGGGAATAAGCCATGCCGATATCTGTAGAAGCAGCATTCCAGCTACAAGGACCAGCAAGTGCAAAGGCCCTGAGGTATGATCCTAGTCAAGGGCACTGAAGCAGGAATAGGTCAGGCAAGCTGGAGGAACATCAAGCAGGTTCCAGTGCCTGGAGCAGAGTGAGCAAGGGGAGAATGGCCAGTGATGTGGGGTGGGGCTTGCATCGTGTAGAGCCTTACAGCAGTCTTAAGGACTTTGGGTTTTACTCTGAATGAGGTGGGGAGACACTGAGGGTTTTAAGCAGAGGAGTGACATAATAGGACTTGCATATTTTTAAAGGTCACCTCTGCTGTTTTGAGGCTAGGCAATAAGGAGGAAAGGGTGGAATCAGGGAGAACCATTAGGAAACAACCAGAATAATCCAGGTGAAGGCTGATGGGGTGTCGACTCATGGTGATAGAATAGGATGTGGTAAGATATATTTTGAAGGGAGAGCTGGTAGGATTTGCTAATGGACTCTCTGTGGGATGTGAGAAAAGAGTCAAGGATGACTCCAGGTTTCTTGTCTGAGTGACGGGAGGATGGCACTGCCATTTCCTGAGTTGGGGAAGGCTATGGAGGAGCAGGCCAGGGAGTGGCCAGAGGAGCTAGGTTTGTACCTGTGAAGTTTGCTATGCCCATTAGACACCTAGGTGGAAATGCCAAGTAGATGGTCAGATACGTCAGTCTGGAGTTCAGGTCGGATATCTAAGTCTGGCTGGAGCTATAAATATGGGAGTATTCAGGAGGTTGAAGGTATTCAGTGCCATGATCCTGGATGAGGGGATAGAGGAGAGGTCAAAGGACAGAGCTGGGAAACAGGGAAACAACATGCAAAGGAGCAGCCAGTAAGAAGGGACAACCAGGAGAGTGTAGTGTTGTGGAAGCCAGAAGGAGAGACGTGTTCCAGAGAGGAGAGAGTGACCAGTCAGGCTGAAAGATGAAAGAACAGGACACTGCACTCAGAGCTGACTGCTGAGTTGGACCTAGGAGCTGTGTGACATTGTCAAGGGCAGTTGAGGTGAAGCAGGCGGTGGACAGTCCACCCGAGGAGAGGGATGGAGATGGTAAGTACAGTCAATATTTCCAGGAATTTTGCTCTATGAGGAAGAGGAGAAATGGGGTGATAGCTGGAGATGGGGGAGAGGATCAAGAGAGGACCTTTTTAAGCTGAGAGAAATAACTCTATATTTGTGTGCTAATGGGAATGACCCAGGAGAGAGGGGAAAACTGGCGAAGCAGTATTTACACTAAATTGTATTTTGCTCTAGAGCGTGCTCGGAGCATATGGGTGATTTTTGTTTTCTCCTTTGTGCTTTCCCCTATTTTCCAAATTATCTACCATGAATATTTATTAATTTTGTAATCAGAAAAAAGCCATTAAAATCCACAGAGCTGATTGCTCAAGTGAAGCTTTTCCATGGTGACTCATCCCAGGGAAAAAAAAGAAACAAAACCGAAGGGCTGAAAAGAATGAGGAGGTGAAGAAAAATTAAATGCAAATACAGCTCACTCAGAATCAGATAATTTCTTCCCTGGCCCACTGCAATTTCCTCACCACCCTCCTGTCTGTCAGTCTCTCCCTGTTCCTGTCCCCACCTCAACATTGTCAACATTGTCACTGTCAGAGGGATTTTTCTTAAAATGCAAATCTGATCATGTCAGAGCCCTCCGATGGCTCCCCCACGCTTTTTGGGATTTTATCTTGACTTGTTCACCTGGTGGAGGATGCCCTTTGTGCTCTGGTCTGGCCTCAGTGCCAATCATAGGCCCCTTCCCCTCCCCGGCCCCCCTTCTCCTGCTCTTCAGCCACACCGTAATTACCGCCTTCTCGGGGCCTCAGAGCGACATGCAGTGCCTTTTGTACTCGCTCCCATAGCAACCTGCTTCACTCCATCAGCGCATCATCCACTCCATTGTAATCACTGATTTACTCCCCTCAACTCTCCCATCCCCACAGCACTCAAGCGCCCCTGGATCCAGTGACTAGATTTTTTTATCTTTGTTTTTCCAGTGCCTTGCCCAATACCTGGCACACAGTAGGTATCTCTTTATCTGTGGGTGGAATGAATAAGCAGATCTCAAGCATCCCTCTGATCACAAGGCAGGAGTGGCAGGGGGGCACTTCTCTTCCTCAAAATTCTCCAGCGCATCTGGCCAAAGTAAAAGCTGGCACCAAGGTTTTTCACACTTTCTCTCAGCCTGGTACTATCAAGCAAGCATACTCTCTCCTCTTCCCTCTCCTTCTCATGTCCATTAAGTTAACTAACATTTACTAAGCCCCGCCTTAGTGGCAGGCCCTATGGTAGGTGCTGGGAATATAAAGATAGATAAGGCAAATGATTCTGTACCTTGAGGGGCTCAGGAGAGGGGGCTCTGGAGACAAAGACCAGCATATTAGCCAGGTCTCTCTCCGGGCATGCTCCTCCTGAACCTGCCAACAGAGCGATTCATTCAGCACACAGTGGTTGAGGGCCCACCATGCAGGAGACACTATGCCAGACACTGGGGTGAGGTGATCCAGAAGACAGAAGGCAACCAGGTCTGTGTGTCAATAACTAAAACATGAGACTGGAGGCCAACAACCTGAGTGGTGCAAAGCCCTTCCCTCCTGTTAGCACCTCTGAGCTTCCCTCCTCCTAGACACCTTCCCCCATCATCACCACAAATCAACTCAACACAGCAGCCTCCTCCCAGCCCCAGCTCCCTGGGAGCCAAAATGTGATCTCAAGTATAACAATCAGAGCTTGATGAGCTGCCAACAGAGCAAGTTGTTGGTGAAAATCCTGCCAGACTGGGTTAGGGCCCGGAGTCAATGGCATTTTACTGAGAGGGCGTGAAAAGCTCCCCATTTCCAACCAGCAAAGGGAATCCAGGGGCCGGGGATGACAGGAGAGGACAGTTCCAGAGGAGCCGGTGAAGCAGGGGAGACTCACAGGTGCCTCTGGGTCCATTCCTGATATGCAGAAACCAACAGAAAAATGTCAGAGACCTCTTCGTATCTGTTTGCTAAATGCTGCAGGGTCTCCAGGGCAGGACAGAAACAGGGAAATGCAAACTTCAAAATGCAGGCAAGGGTGAAAAATGAGAATTGAGCACTAAGTCTTTTGATGTGGTAGCCTCTCTTGTCTGTGGGAGTTTCCCCATTTTTGTTTGTGGGGGATTTAATTAGGGAAATGTTGAGCGGGAAACAGATGTGCCTGAGGAGGAAGATAGGTCTTTGAATGGACCGCAGTGCCCCAGGCCCGTGCTTACAGGGGAAGGAATACACCTAATGGTATGTGATGTCAAGTGTGTGCGCTCTGGGGACTGTGTATTCCCACACGAAAAGCCCTTAGAGGAGATTAGCTGCAGCACAACGTTGCTGCGCAGGAATCTACGTGGATGCAAATCTACAGGTACATGACAGCGTCTGTGGAGGGGTGCAGCCAGAGAGGTCTAACCCAGTGATGCCCGAAAGAATCGATTTAGGAAAGAGACTCCTTGGGATACCCTTGAAAACAGAACAATTAAAATAGAATTTCACGACATTCAGAAAAGACGCTGTAAGGTGCAGCAACAAGTGAGGGCGGGTGCCTGGGATGAAGTCTCCCTTCGCTGTCCCCAAGGGCAGGCCTGCAGCTGCTTCTCCCAAAGATGTTCCTCTTGCAGAATCCTGCCTGGGAGAGGCCCCCAGTACTGAGAGCCCTGCAGTGGAGGCTTGGGGAGGGAAACCGCAGCAGGGCTCACACTCGGCTTCTCTCACCTCTTCCTGCCTCTCTGGAGTGAAGGAATCCCCTGCTATCAAATGGCTGAGACACAACAGGGACAGGAGGGAGCAGTCAGAAAAGCAAAAGGAGCCATCCAGAAGAGCTGCCTCCCTCCCCATGGTGCCTAGAGAAGACCTGAGCTATTTCCTCCTGTCTCCCTTCTCTCCCATCTCCTCCTTTGCCATGAACTACAAATTCCTCCATAAGAGGACACCACAAGTAATCTTAAAAATACAACAAACTAGTGAATATAACAAAAGAGAAGCAGACTCACAGGTATAGAGAACAAACTAGTGGTTACCAGTTGTGGGGGTGTGTGTGCAGAGTATAGGGGTGGGGGAGTGGGAGGTACAAACTGTTGGGTGCAAGTCAGGCTCAAGGACGTATTGTACAACACGGGGAATATAGCCAATATTTTGTTATAACTGTAAATGGAAAGTAACCTTTAAAATTGTATAAATTTTTTTTTAATTTTAATTAAAAAAAAAAAGAGGACTCCACAAGCTACCCTGCCATTACCATACTATGACTTATGAAGTCTGTCTTAGATTTAAATTTTCCTTGAGAAGTGTGAGGCTTCATTCTTTCCATGGTAGGTTCACAAAAATGCAGATGAAACTTCAGAAAGAAAATGTCCATTTTAGCCCTGGATGTTCTTTCTCCATGTTGGGCCCAAACCAAAACAGGATATGAAAGTGAGACCCCAGCCACAGCGCTGGGGCAGGACCTCACCTGGATGTCCTTTATCATGATGCTGTAAGCAAGGCTATGAGACTCCAGGTAAGCTTTGATGTCCTTCAGTTCAGAGAAAGGAACCCTCATATCCACAGGAAGGCTGGGCCTGGCTGGGCCACGCCAGAAGCCCACCTTGATCACAAAGGAGAAAAAAATGGGCATGTTTATCACACAATCCTGTAGGCACCCTGGAGGGCCAGATGTTCTTCTCTTATACAGTTGAAAGGGCCCCAGTTCCAAAATGAAACCCCTAAGGCAGAGCAGAAAGACAGGGACAAACAAAATCCCTAAGTCACTGAGTTTCCTTCCCTGATGTTAAGCACCTCATCTCCCAGCCTCATTCACACAATGTAACTTCGCCTGGATCCAAAGAGCCCAAAATAATTTCTAAAGGTGAGACGGCTCATCATCTGGGATGTTAACATGGACAAGGACCCTGGTGAGAAGAGGGAGACATCACTGCCCCTAAACCCCAAAGGGGTAGGAGAGGCCTGATCTGGATCCCTGTGCCATCTGACTGCCATGTCTATTTTTCAGTTTGTAAAATGGAGAGACTTATAAAGTTTTCTGAGTCCTGGTTGATAGGGGCACTCAAACGAATAGGAACGTGGGCTTTGGGCCACATCCAGAAATATCAGGTTGTTTCAACAGCCCTCAAAGAAAACCCTTCTATTATTGAAGAAAATGTTTTCCTTTGTGGAATACTTGCTGAGGACAAATGTTCTCAGAAACCAATGCTCAGGCTGACAGGGATGAACCCAAATAAAACACAGGTTTGCCAAGCTAAGCCATTGCAATTGGGAAACAGATGTGTCCAGTCTGCATGCTGCATGGCATACCACCCAGAGATACATGTACCTCTCATGTGTCTTCAGGACATTCCAGCCATTTTCAGAGCAGCCCCCCTACAAGACAGAGGGGAAAGCCAAGAAGGGCCACCCAACCTTCCAGGTGAGTGTTCCCAACCTCTTTTGAAGAGGAGGCACATTTGATTTTTCCACAGTGTTGTGATCTTTGGCAGACACACCCAGAGGGCAGGTTTGGGGTGGGGGAAGCAGGACACGGAGCCAAAGGTGCAGGCTGCTGTGAGGGAGGAGAGGACTCGTCCCCAAGCCCTGTGGAGTCCTCACCTTCTGGGGCTTCAGGCCCTCCAGATCCCTGAGAAGTGAAAGTTGCTTCTCATTTTTAGCCAGGACTCGAAGAACCTGGTCACTGGAAAGACACAGAGAGGGTGGAGGGAGCTGTTCAGAGGGATTCCTGGAAGACTGTGCTGCTTGGGAGAGGCAGAGTGGAAAAGAGGCCAGACTGCGGGGACCTGGCAGGACAGCTGGGAGGCTAGAGGACCCCTGAGCAGAAGGACTTGTAGCTCTGGAAAGCACGAAAGCCCTTTAGCCCAGGATCAGTGGTCTCTCCAGCCCCAAGGAGAGACCACCCAGGGGACTAAATATAAAAAAGTCTGTCAGTGCTGCTGATGAACCCAATGCTAAGACAGGGGAAACAGGATGGGAAAGGAATGTGGGGGATGGAGGAGGGAGGGAGAACAAAAGGAATAAAGGAGAGAAAGGAACAGACACAGGGAGTCGGGGGCACCAATGGTGGCCCCATGTGCTCTTCATAAAAGGGCCCAAGGCCATGTCTGCCCCCAGCCCCGTGCCCTCTCCTGCCTTCTCCCAAGAGCCGAAGGACATGGAAGAGATCAATCTCAAACTACCTCACAGGGGGAAGCTGAGCTCCTTCCTGTCCCTCCAGAGGGGTGGGGAGGTCATGTAACTGAGCAGCCTGCAGTGTGACCTCTGGGGTCTGAGCCTGGGATGGCGATGGCTCCCTCCCTGACCGGCTCTGACACCCTGGATGATGAACCCCCTCTCTAAGCTTGTGTCTCCTCTTCTCTACCATGGAAATACTATGGAGTGGTTACCTTGCGGGATCTTTGGAGAGCTAAGAAATCATGTCTGTAGAGAGTATATAATACTCATACTTATTTTTACTCAAAGGAAGACAATACCACACCCATACATTAGGAGTACATAGTCTTTGGGGGGGGTTATAACTTTTTCAAGAATTGGAGAAAAGTTACAAACACTTCCTCCAGAAAAAAAGTAGATACACAAAAAATTTTACATATGATTTCAGGGGGTTCTTGGAGCCCTGAAAGCTTACCCTTGGAGTCCAGACTAAGAACTCTAGGTTGGGGGAGGGACAATAAACAGCTGCGTGTCCTGCCCTCACACATGAAATTGAGAGGTGACAGAGTTGGAAGTGGGTTCAGGATGGGAACTCAAATCCTGAATCCCTTCACCTTGATCAGGTCCCACTGGGCCACCCGGTCACCTGGCTCCCAGCAATCCTCCCTCCCACTAAGGAGCAGCCACTCACCCTGTGAAATTCACTTGGCCCAAAGCTGCTGCCAGGACAAAGCTGCAGACCAGGAGCATCTGCCTGTCCACAGGGGACAGCCCTCGGCCCACACTTCCTCTGGGGAAGCCCTGCATGCTTCTTCCTCCAGGCGAACTTCAGGGGTTCTCCTGTGCACGGGCACAGGCCTCAGGACAGCAGATCACCTAAAGGCCGACAGGCCAGACCCGAGAATGTGCGTTAGGCTCTCTCTGGGAAGACCCTGCGTGGGATTCCCACACGCCAGGTCTTGGAGAGCTGGGGTGCCCCTCCCCACTTCTAGGTGAGTCTTCTCCTGAGAAGGGGAGGGGGGGAGGGAAAAAGGAAGACAAG